GTTTGTCTGTTAGCTCTTTCCGAAATAGGTCTGCAAATTGTTTACAATAGTTTGGGAATCTGTCCAAATTTGTTGGTGACTTCTTTGTTGGCGCAAGCCCTTTCTGAATGTCTACCAGCGTTACAGAAAATAGCTAGGTTTTGCCAGCGCTTGACTTCCCGGCCTTCCTGACAGTTGCAAGGAATACCCCTACCAACAAACTTTTGATATTTGTTGTTTAATAGGACGAATTCATCATTGGCTGTTGGCCTTTTTCCCATGCTCTCATTGGTCGATTGTTCACAATAGCTTCTCTAATGTCCATGAAATGTTCCCTTGCATTGTAAATGACGTCTTCCCGCTCCATCTATGGTTTTCCCAATATGAGATCAAGAGACAACATTGGTATAACATACGCATACAACCTCCATTGATACCCATCAATGTCTAGCTCCATTCTAACCATTTCTGTGATAAAATCTTCATGGTGCTGATTTTCTGTTGCCTCTGTGAGCTTGCGCGGATTAATTTTTATCCGAGGCAGGTTAGCCTTTTGTACTAATGAATTACTAACAGCAGCTAGACATTTGCATCCATTGTCAATCAAAGTGGATACTGAATAAATTCCGTTGATCACAGTGTCTATAATAAACGAAGATCCGTTCATAGCGCTGTTAGCTTCTTTATCTCTAGTTTATCTCGAGCTAGCAGACATTGTCATAGTTTCATTTTCTTGCATTTGGGGACAATTTGATTTGGGAGCTGATCTTTTAGATACCTCGTTCTTCGGAACTTTTGCCTTGGTTGTATCTACTATAAATTCGGCAAATGTTGCTACTTTGGTAGTGTAACAGCTTGTGAGCCGATTGTTGTGTGGCACGTGATTGTATTCACGTGCTTCTATAATTCTACAGTAGTCTAGCTTTATTCCAGATCAGTTCAGCTGTGACTAGAATATTCTAGTAATTGGTAGCAAGACTGGGAACTACTATGACTGAAATATACGAGAAGCAGATATCAGTCAAGAACAAGTATTCTAGAGCTCTTCATAGATGTATAAATAGTTGAAGTCGTTAAAGTTATGAGCTTGAACGAAGATGGAGGTTGTAGCGGAATCAGTGTCGGCGGTTAGACCAATGCAGTAAGTCTCGTATGAGGTTGTGAGAGGAAGATCCGAGTGGAAACAATTGTATTTAGATGTATGGTTCAGAGTAAAACCGAGATGATAAGAGTGAGATTGCGTGTTCACATATCTTATCAACTGTGGTTTTTGACCAGTATTTATCAATCTCCATGGATCGTAAGTTATGATCCATGTAGATGTAGATCTATGTACATACACATATATGGGTCAGGAATATAAAGCTAAATACATGTGTGTCGGTAATAGATACGAGAAAACTATAACCTGCATTTGAGACATAGTCATCCGCTGGAATGCTAGTGTGAAATAAACGCTAATGCGCATCGAACTTTCGGTGAATTATGTATTGATAACAGTGATATAGAGTGGGGAATTTGATAGTCAAATTAGCCGGACTTACTAACAAGTTATTCTTGGCATTCCAAGATATATCATATTTCAACAGAAGTAATACTCTGATAGTTAGCCATGGAGAAAATTATAAACTACCTTTGTATATCTGATTGCTCCCGCATCAACACTCGAACTGTGACAGGTAGAAGTTTCAGAATTCTTAGCTGGAAGTAGTCGACAAATAGCTATAATGTGGCCAATCTTTCCACATTGCAAGCACGTTCCTTCTTTTTTGCACTGGTTCAACTCAACACATGAAAACCATTTTGCACGGACTTTATCGAGACCGGTCATCCTCATACTGCTATCTAAACCCTCAATGTTTAAGTTGACATTGTGTCAGGCGCAGGTTCACCAGGCGGAAGACTTGAGGCGTATGGGATGGCGTAGCGTACAATGTACTGAGGATGGACGCCTCGTGGGAACGCAGAGGGCTTTCTAGAATGTTAATAAAGGAGAACGCAGGGGGTCGTTCGGGATAAAGTGACCGGAGGTGACGGTAGGTCACTATGGGTGGCAGAGGACGAGAGTGAGATGTAATTAGAATTATGTAACTATTTCTAAAGACAGAAAACAAAATGTGAAGGTCTCAGTCTCGGAAATGGAAACTACATAGGTGCCCTTGCTAAACAATAAAGACTACTGGGATTAAACAAGGAACCCATAAATCCTGCCTGAGGCATTTCTCAAGAATCCTTACACTTTAGCTGGAAGGTAGTGCATAATTTCTCGTGAGATTTCCCCTAGTAATTTGCCCCCAGCTACACCTTGTGTTCCATCTTCGAAGTATCCTGTCTGACCTAGCAGGTAATCTCTTGTAATTTCCATACCAACCTCATCAATTTCAGAACCCAGGTTCGATAGGTAATCAATTAGCTCTCGGAGTATTCTAGGGCACAGACTCCCAATCATGTAATTTCTAGTCGTCTTATTGAGAGAGTTTCGTAACTGATATATCTTGCATTTTTCATTCCCTTTTCAACCAGGACTTCGCAAGAGTAACTGTTGGAAGCGTGGTAGATATGAAGATAGGTTCTCGTCCCGAAATTGTTGACATGCATGAAATAGTACGGCCGCCAATTGTTCCTCGTTTCTGTTGCGGTAGGTATCATCTATAGACTGTAACAGCCCTAGCGCATCTCATTCCATGCCATTTGCAAGCATACTTTGAAACTGACCTGTGATCATATATTTCGCTGTTCCAGTTACTGCATGGCTAAATAGTTGTAGTAAAAAGTCAGACAGTTGAATAAAATTCCGCTCCTCTACATCACGCCTGTACATGTACCTAAGTATTCCATGTGTAATTGCCTACTTAGTTCTATCCTTGTGATCGTATGCTTCTGGCCATTTAAGTGGTTCCTCTTCAATAAAGCATTCTCTGCATTCTGATTGGCCTCCCACATTAGCTCTTGACGGTTGCAGGGGAGTTTTTTTCTCGGCCTCTGATCGTTCCTGTTAAATTGAAGCTTTTATGAGAGATTGAATTGGTAGAGGGCCTGAAATCATTGCCTCGTAGGCCAACTTGTTTGGTATGGCGAATTTGGACTGAGCTTGGCTCTGGGACAACTGTTAATTCCCAGGATCGCAGTGGACACGGCAGATAGCTATTTATTCTTTGTACTTTCCATGAGGCCTTTGAAGTAACCAATCAGATTTTCGGGGAAAAATTGAACTGGTCGGATGTCTCAGAGCATTGCCGGGTGGCCCCACTTCTTCCATATTCCGAAATTTGACTCGCCTTGGCAGCCAGAGAATCATTTTACATGAAGGGCAAGACTGGACACCTGTACGCCGTGTCCTCCGCAAACTTGGGGTGTGAACCCCAGAGCCAAGTTCTGTCAAATCTCGCAATGCCAATAAAGTTGGCCCACGAGTCAATGATTCAAAATACTACACCATGTCAATCTTTCACTCCCAGCGAAATTAATTCCTACCTAAGCCTCATCAAGTCTACAGGTACGACCTAGTACATCCTCATTCCAATGATCATACCACTCTTCGACCTTCTCTGGCCTCAATTGACCACCAAATACACGCCCACGCCGATATTTACACCCGACAGATGAAGCAAAACATGGTGCATAAATCTGGAGGAAAGTTGCTTGGGATGGATGTGAGAGGGATCAGGATAAGTTGATAATATGATGCACAAGATTGTTTTAACCACGAAGGGCGTGAAATTCTGAATTTTGGCAAGGAGTTTTACAAATCGAGCTTTGTGCGTGCCAAGTCTTCGGTTGCGAGAGTGCAGGCAATACTATAAACACCGTCATGGTTGGATGGTGCGGTGGTACATCTTCTTGGCCGGTCTCTCATATAGGGTCTGGGTAGCGTAAACACATATCCCACTTGAGACAGTAGATTGCTGGTTCAAATCCGGCAAAACCTACCACTTTTCTCGCGGCGCTGGTGTGCATGTATGACGAAGGCATGCTTGGATAATCAAAGGTTTTTAAATTCCCTTTGGTGGGTACTTACGGAGGAGGGTCGACTATTTGTGTAAGTAAGCCTACCTCATAGTAGTATTTGCAAATGAAATCCAGAGTATGAGTGTCTCTAACGTCAAAAGAGTCTTCCTTCATATAAGCATAGCACCGGTCATGTGTCATAGCTTTATAGCTGAATATACATTAAAAGATTTAAAAAAAGGTTATACATCAGATTTGCCAGTGCTGCAGATAGCTGTACCTTCCTCAACTTCCCCCCTTATTTTTGCCAATATTGTAACTTGAGTTCCGATGAACACTACAAGGTCCCATTCAGCTGCTCGCTAGGTTGATCCTCGAGGATCGAGACTGGAGATGATTTTACGCATTAGCGCATGTGTAGTGGGTTTTACCAGTGGTGGAGGTCGGACTTATTCGATGTAACGGGCAATTCTGGTAGGGAATGGTAATGAATAAAGCATTTCGATTGCAAATGGCGTCTCGTACACTCGAACTGTGTAGGATGGCCAAGCACGAAAAATGATAGGATTGCAGAGGAAAGCGAACTAGCACCAAGACAATCTTTCGTCTTACGAAACATTACGGCGTAGAAAATCTCTCCGAACAACTTTCTCGGTCGAATAAAGAATATCTCTCTTTGATATGACTGTCGCCCGAGTCGGCTGATGGTCAAAATAGAAGGCGTTTGAGCCGAGCTTGAGTAATTTCGACGTTGGAAGGAATGTGGTACTACATGTTGCAAGGAAGCTGCAGGATTTTCTAATTCTGAATTATCATGTTGATATATTCATAAATAGATCTCTTCAATGAGTACAAATACAGAGTCTCATCCTTTGCAGTTGTCATCACACGAATTTCCACCAAAATCACCTTGATACTTATCAATAGATCTATCAGCGCGTAAAACCAGGCCAATCTCAACAGCGACATCTACTTCCCTCGGTGACAACGTATAAATTGGGTGAAGCTCGAAATACCAGATCTCTCACAGTCTCTCGTTCACAGTCCAGCTTCGTGCAGACGACATCCTTGATATGAAGTTTCTTAGTGCAGCTTCCACGGCCGCGTTGACTTGCATCTTCCTTCTAGCGCCCACCGCGCTTGGAGATCTTGTTCATAAGTGTGTAAGCGGAGAAACATTTGAGCTGGAAGAAGCTCAAGATTATGCAAGCAAAGCTACTCTCGATCAAGTACTTCCCAGTGACCCGGTAAACCCAAGCGCTCAAATAAGCGGGGCACATCATTTTACTAGGAAAACAAGACAGAACGGTCAGACTAGCTTTTCATGCGACCTCATCATCACTAACTATTCTCCTCTGTTCCTAGAAAATGGTTTCTACTTAGTCCAATACGTTGGAACTCTTCGATTGATTCAACTTTATGAATATGGTCAATCAGGATGGGAGTTCTGTTACCTCGCCCTCCGTAGGTCAGAGCCGGTATAGTATGAATGATTTGCATGGTCGCGGTATTTAGCATTGAAAATTCGCACAAAACTCTAGATGCAGAAGAGTTGTGAAATTTATCCTAAAGAATTTATAAATAATAATACTCTCCTCCTTATTCCGGACTTCTGATGACCCATGACTCGCCATGAAGTGGCAAATAAATTGATGCGGGTGACAATCATTGGGAGATCAGTTGTTGTGTCTTTAAGGGCGTGGTGCGTGGCAGCCACTGCGGTCCTCGCAGAGCCAAAGTGGAGCCGAGCAGCATCACACTGTACGTTCTCCATGTGCCGTATTTACCCACGATGTGTTCTCAGCCTCATCATGGCGTGTCTACTTCTTTTCTCCAACGTCCTTCATAGTCATAGTCTCATTCGGGACTTAAACCTAAACCTATTCTATTCGCTTCTACTTCTTTTCTTTGCACTGCCGCTTTGATAGCGGCGCTTCCTATGCTTCTGTACGCTACTGAGGTTTTGTGGCGCGGGCATTCTTCTATCCGTCATGGCTACCGCAATTCAACCAATTAATAACACCTCGTCAACATGATTCCAAGGGCCACTGTCCAGACCAATCCTCCCAATATATAAAAGCACACCAACTGCAGGAGTTTAAAGAGAGGTGTGGCCCAAACCAGCACAGATTCTAGTCGAAGAGACGTGCCTACATTCTGCTCTTCGAGGAGCTGCCGCTGATCCCTTTCATCTGTTGGCTACAAGATTCAATGACGCTCGAGCACACACCCGCCTCATAGAAAAACTGCAGTTTATCCCTCCATTTCCCCGTCCTCGACTTGTGCCACCCAGCCATAGATCCCCTCTAAATTTCCCCTCGAGATGATTTAAATGTTGCCGGATTTTCCGGACGTATCTGTGATTGACCAGCCTGGGATATTCTTGTATTCCTGTCAGGGCAGGGGTCATAGGAGAGATTGACGAGGACTAATCTGATGATTGAAATTGTCTACAAAGAGGAAAGGTGACTCCTATTGAGTCTTATTAATATTTATTTATTTATAATATTTAACGTCGTGCCCGCGCTCAGTATGTGAGCTCCTTGTGTGCCAACTAGCTCAGTCTAAATAAAACTACCCGGCGTGTTGGCGCATGAACAGACTCAACAAAGCAAATGAAAGCCAGAATCTTATCATCCTGCGCTGGAAGATTAAATTATACATGGTTACCAGTCTCCCTTCAACTCTCATGCTTTCAGATAGTATTGAATGAAGAATAAATTAAATAAAAAAATATGGATGGGGGAATGTAGTTGAATCACATGACTCCCTTTTGGTGTCACAGGCTCATACCTGGTTATCATCAGGCTGCTGCCTAACAAATAAGGCTTGAACTCTTCCAGCCATGTTAAACATCATACATGTCATGAACCCCTCCAAGACTCATTAGACCCAAGTATAGGCCTTGGCTCAGTTCATGCAAATCTATTCTTAAATGAAAAATTTAGATTGTAGACAGGACGACTCGAACACCAGTCGTGAGTCATCTAAGCCACATGCATCATAACTATTTTAATAACTAAAATTACTAACATTAAAATGAAGCTGAATTAAAATAGACGGAGATGCTGGTGTTTGTCGGAGGACAGGTCATGATCTATTTTGAGAATGGTATGAAATGAGGGAACGAGATCATAGTCTTGTAAATAAATAGGAGGCTTGCAGTCATGTCTCTGCTTGTTACTTTAAGATTTTCATTTGTATCTAGTTATGAGTTCAGTTTGAATAAAACGCCACTTTAAGACCGTCACATTTGGTCAGACTTGTTGTGTTTTTCCAAAGAAATTTGTGACACGCACCCAGCTATTAAATGCATGAACTCCCTCTGCAGAAGTTATAAATGTATATACATCATGGATTGCGCATAAGAAGCGTGATATCACGTGACCACATGATACTGTAATCCACTTTGTTGTGATAGGTCTATAATTTGGGTGTACATACTGTTAAGACCTAATATATACATCATTATTATGGGGTAACTAATATATGGGTCACATATTTACCTTACTGTTAGTGGTCACCAGTTGGGCAGGAAGTCTGCATGGCATGTTGTGTTATAGAAGATCTAGGTCATGTGATGGTGGCCTTCGGATATTAAACAAGAGGCGGGAAGTCAGATCATTTGCTCTGTTTAGGACACGAGTAGAAGACATTAGTGTCAGCTCTACGGAGCTGGATCACTCGTGGACTATGAATGGTGTATATATGACTGGAAATGTGTATTGTAATTTTGTTAAATCTTTATTAGTATAACAATTGTTATTTCATTCCAACATATACAATTTGTGGGAGCTAGCTGCTAGTGATTACAGATGGGCTGCTTGGCTGGATAGGTCAAGAAGTGGAGCGGAGAATGATCTCTGTAGAATGAGGAAAGACTGGGTTGCTTGCTCTATCTACTGTGGAGGAAAGCTCTCTACTTATAGTCCCTAGACTATTGCTTACTAATGTTACCAACACATTGAAGCAGGAGCAAACAGAGCAAACGCATTAATCACTTGACCATCATAACTTGAGCTGTGTACTGTAGCTACATGGGTTCAGGCACAACACACTCCATCCCTTGACATATGGTCCCACCTCCCCTCTCGTTGGACCTTATGGCCCTGTAGCTACTCCTGAAGCAAAATTTCAGACTTTCCAATAGGCCTTACTAAGTGGATTCTCGCCCAAAGACAACATTCCAATCAATACATCAAGTGTTGCTAGGAAAGATCTCCCATGGCCCCCAATTACTGAGGAAGAGATATTTTGTGCATGCTGTCAGTTCTCGTCTACTGTCACGGGCCAAGGGCCTATTCTGAGCCAATAGGAACTATGTACGAAGATATCTATGGCTTTCTGCTAATGTTCTATCCTAATCTATTCTGTTCTGTTCTAATTTGTACTTGTCTAGACTATTCTATTCTGTGTGAGAGTATACTGGAAAGTTCGAGAACAATAGAGAGGAATATATAATGGGTAATTGGGATGACTTTGGTTCGGCAGATTATGGTCTTGTATTCTTAGGAACCTTTCGACAATATTGAATTTGTGTACATCTTGACCTTTTGACATCTCCGAATATTGATTTATTGAACTCTCGACTCATTGAACTCTCGACACCTTGACATCTACAACCCCAGGATCTGCCGAAAAACCCCGAGTTCTCTCCGTCAAGCATGGCCAATAATTGGTAAGAGGGGGTCATCTCTCTTCCGCCAGTGCGAGAAGCTAGGAATACACCCAATAGCCTTCAAGAAGTCTACAGTGGATATCCTTCCGAAATCAGGAAACCGAGATCTCACCCTCCCGAAGTCTTACAGACCGATCTCTCTACTTTCGTGCCTTGGTAAAGGCTTCGAGAGACTAATAGCACGGCGACTTTCATACATAGCTCTGAAATATCGGGTACTCGCCAAAGACCAATGCAGTACCATCCCTCTTCGCTCAGCTTCTGACCTTACCACAGCTCTCGCTTGTGATATTCAGGCAAAATGGGCGGAAAAGAAGGTAGCTGTTATAGTGACTGTTGATGTCCAAGGGGCATTTGATGGTATCCAGAAAGGACGACTCTGCTATAGACTTCGAATCCAAGGATAACCACCAAACGAGGTTCGCTGGGTGGCATCTTTCATGGAAGAGCGGGAATCCACAATCTCTATTGAAGATACTAACTCTCCGCCCTTCCAAAATCACTGTGGTCTCCCACAGGGCTCACCTGTATCACAATTATTTTTCTTCTTGCTATGGAAGAGGCACTACTTCTTTCCACTGGCCGCTTTGGCTATGCAGATGATGTTGCCCTCTTTGCGTCTGCGCCATCCCTTGTCAAGTGTGCACGCAAACTCCAGGAGAAATTAGACAGCAACATAGCATGGGGACTTACTAACGGAATTAGTTTCGAACTTCCTAAGACTGAGCTGCAATACTTTCACCGGAAGGGAGGATCACCAATAGAGCCTGCTCTAAATATGGGAGGGACAATCATAACGCCCAATGACTACACTTGCTGGCTTGGGATATTTTTCGACCGTGCTCTTCGGTTGCAAAATTATACTATACAGGCTTGCTGGCAGTCTCTAGCTATCACGAGCCATTTGAAAAGACCCTCAACCACTACTCGAGGAATTAGCTCTCTTTTTCTACGACAAGCTCTGCATGGTGCCGCATTTGCGACCCTTTTCTATGGGGCCGAGATCTGGTACTCCAAAGAGACACCTCAAAAGACAATATCACGACTTCAACATAGGATTAACGACGCAGCTTGGGCAGCTTTCCCTGTCTATCGTACAAAACCAATAGCAGCACTTCTATATGAAGCTTGCTGGGGCCCAGCTTAGACGTGGCTCACCCGAATTCACAGTCGTCTAGCGGTTCGAATCGCTGCAGCCGACCTGTACCACCCTCTTCGAAGACGATGGAACACTTGTGGCATGCGCTGGATCCGTCAGAGAATCTCACCAGAACTTCCCGAGGACATCATCCCTCCACCGTGGTCGTCATCCCGTGAAGAAAAGCTCATCGAAATTGGAGCAGTAGGTAGACTCCTGGGACCAAATCCCTTCGAACAGTGGCAGGCTACATGACCTACCCTAGACTTGTTCGTATTCTCAGATGGAGCTCTAATAGAAGACCGAGCAGGTGTGGGCTATGTCATCTATCGAGGTCTTACGCAGAAGATTGGGCGAGGATCACTCCCTCTAAAAAGCTCGGTAGAAGTGTATGATGCTGAAATTGCCGGGGCCACGGAAGGTCTTGCCGCAGCTCATCGCAACCCACTGGCCTATTATGCCTCTAACATTACTTTCTACCTCGATAACTAGGAGGCAGCTTTCCGTCTGCTCTTGGATACGCTCACAGCGTCTAGCTCGGCAGAAATCTTCAACTTCCATAAGCTCGCAGTGAACTTGATGTTACAGGATCTAGTGCACAAACTCCTGCCGTTCACTGTGTGCGGCCCATGTATAATGATAGCTTTAGGGACCGCTTAGTCATACCC